ATATGTTGTTGCTAAAGTTTTTGTGCAGAGCAGGATACAGACGCTGGATCGTGCATGCACAATTTATCTCAATTCTTATTTCGATTATCGCTTCCATCATTGTTGTGTCCTATGGGCAGAATCCAACCGACGAAGAAGGATGTCTAGCAGCTGATATTCTACGTTTCGTGTGTTAATTTGCTGGTGTCTTTATGGCGTTATCAGCTGTTTAAATATTTTTGAATCTTTGCAAAACTACGCTTGACGAAATTATCGATGCAGCGAGCGACCAGACACCTTATCAAGCAATTCAAGAAATAGCTGACCTAACTTTCGCTGCTGAAGCGCAGCACTTTACATCGACGAAAAAGGATATAAAATAGCTGATGTTTCGCATTTCGTGTGTCACTTGGCTGGTGTTTTCAGTGCGGTATTTGCTATTCAAATATTGGTGAAACTTACAAATCTACGCTTGACGAATTTATCAAGGCAGCGAGCGACCAGACACCTTATCAAGCCCAGCGATCAGAAATGTACGACCTGACTTCTGCTGCTGATGCGCAGCTGTTTGCTGGTGTATGTTACCGAAGCTCAGCAATAACCTCAACAACTCTTACAGGGCGCAAAGAGAAACAGAGGAAGAGAAAATAGGTAATTTAATGGAAGAATGGTGGCTTAAACTTCTCTATTACTAAGCATTAGCTGATTCGATTGTGATTAATTATAGCTAATTATCTAGTAACATGGCGTATTCTCCTGTGCAATTCCAATCCAGTAAGGAACATACCAAAAAAGCACAGAAACTCTACTACCACTCTCGCTTGTCGTCCGCAATGATAAGAATTGAGATGTGTTCGTCGAGTTCTTACTAATTGCTGCATAGGAATATACGAATCGCAAGAGAACAAAATAATATCAGTGCTTGCATAGTTAACATTGCAAGATACTTTCCGATTCCCAGCAAAGGCATTTATCAAGATAGCAGTGGAGCCATAGACGTGCTCGGACGGTCAAGCTTCAAATTCCAATGTGGCGTATATGACAGAATCGCCTCCACAAAATTCAACAACAAATAGGTCACACATGAAACGCGGGTGGCTAGAATCTGCTAAATCTTCTTTTCCGTCAAATGGATTCTGTCCGGAGGCCACAACAACAAATATAATGACCGCCGATATGAGAGGCATGAAGTATTGAGCGTTGAGCGTTGAGTGTTGGTCTGTGATTGCTTAGAAAATAATGTTAGTTACGATAGATTCAAACGGCTAGGGTCGAGAATACATCTCAACAATCTGGAAGGAGTTACACCAATGTCAACGAGAACAGGAGACGGAACCACCACCAGTACGTAAACTTGTCCATCAGCCAATCAAAAATTATCACCAAAATGCATGAAATTGTTAATCCAAAGTGTGGAATCCATCAGCACGCAGCCTTAGGGGTATCTACTTTCATCAAGCGCCACAGAAACCACGCCAGCCCGATCCACGCGCTGCCCTCCGTCATAGCTATAAAGAGTTT